AATTGTCTAAATAACTTTTTATATAGACTTAAGCCTAATGTCTAGGAAGTGTAATCCCTTGAACTCTTAAAGAAGTATATTAATGACTTTACTCTTTGGTTATACTTTCCTTTTGGGTGTTTTAAGACCATACAGTTGGCCCAAATAAATCCATTTATTTTTATACTTAAGGTCATTTGAGGATTTGTTCCTCAGGGGTCACATGGGGTTCAGAGGAGCTCCTGGCTCCTTTCTTTTACCAGTTCCATCTATGTGATGATAAGTCAAAGGTCCTGTTCGACCATGTCTGGCTTCACTTGGAAGCATGAATGAGATGTTTCCTCTGAGTTTACCCTCCTCTTTGTAGACTGGACACTGGTTCAAGTCCATCTTGTGGGGTCTCCATGGCCTCCCTGAACAAGAGGACAGGTGACTCACCACAGTTACAGGACATTTTGAGAGATGTTCCATAGTCACCTGGAATTTAGTCAAGCTTGGAGGGCAAGGGGCAAAAAATTGTTCTTTAAGTCCCTCTGACCATATTAGTATAGGCCTCAAACTATGACTGTTAAACATCCAATAAGGTTAGTTCCACCACTCTGTTACTTTTAATTATCATGTGCTATGTAGATAAGGCTTGGGTAAAAAACCAAATATTCTCAGATAAACCTTGACTGGATATATATTTTATTCCTTAAACTAGTTGACTAAACTATGACCATAGAAATTTTAAGATTATGGATATATTATTTTTGTCTCATCCTGACATTTCATCATAGGTTGTTCAGCTTACTTAACTTTCTTCGTAATGACCAAGTTACCTCAAAGATGGTCACTTTCTAATATACAGGGGGCTGAGTCCTTGAGCAAATGCTATGAGATATTGAGACTGTGAGTTTCAACATGACTAGAGTATGGCTTCATGTTTAAAATTATCCTTTCTGTTTACTCTTTTTGATCAACATGTATTAATTGTACATGGTAATTTGTTTCAGCATTATATGTTAATACATGTACCCAGCGTGCACTGATCAGACCCAGCTCTTCAATTGCTCACCGTCCTGTGCACCTATTCTCCAGCTTCTCTCCAGTCATCAGTTCTACAGTCAGATCCAGTTTTTCTTCTCTTTCACCTGTGAAAGAGAATGTGTAGCACCTGTCCATCTGTAGCTGAGATTTGATTTAACATAATGTTCTGTAGCTCAATCCATCTCACTGAAAAGACGTATTTCATAATCTTCTTGTGACTGCATGCTACTCTATTGTGCATATGCACCTCCCTCCCTCTCCCTTTCTCCCTCAGTCCACTACCCTCCTTCCTCATCAGGCAGAGAATTATATTCATATATTTTATTTACTGTCAACTTTACGATTTCTAGAATAACGTCTTGTTCATAGTAACAATTCAGTGCATATACATGCATATGTATATATTGAAATATGAGAGTTGTGAGGCAAATAGTTGTAAGGCTCTCTAGTTTGCAGATGAAGAGAGATTGCGAAAATAACAAAATAAGGACTGAAAGTGGTCGTAGGTAGTCCACCATCCACCAGTTCATTCATCTACTCAGTGAGTGACAGTGAAGTTCATGGTATTTCCAGTACTTTGCCTGCCAAGTAGTCTATGTTGATATAAAAACCAATGTGATCATTATTATTCACCAACTCATTATAATAATTTCCCAAAGCACTAGTGTTAAGTATCAGTTCTTTCCTGGTTTGCCATTGGTAGGCTATCAGTATCATGATATTTTTGTATTTTATAATTAATTTTGAATAGACAATATATGCCTCAAAAATTCAAAAGCTATAGAGGAGTGTATGTTGAAGAATACCCATAATATGCAACCCTCCATTCCTCATATTGCCTGCCCAGTGGAGTTACCTCTGACATTCTAATCACTGAAGCCTAAGCTCTATCCATAGAAGTTGTGATTTAGTCTAGGTAGGAGTGATGTTGGAATTTAGAAACTTCTAGAAAAGCCTTAGATGAAGTACTACTTCAGGTAAATGTATTGCAACAAGGACCAGAAAGATATGAAAATACACAAAGTGATTTTTAATGACACTGAACATGAAGCAATAAAAAACAACAATGCTTGAGGGATGGAATCAAATGCTGAGAGCCAGACAATGCCCCAGTTTGTTGTCTGCAGAGTCTCTGGACCACCACAGAGGGCGGTAGAATGCAAGTCCAGCTGGCTGACTGCTTGAGAAATCAGAGCTGAGGAGACTTAGGCAGTGAAAAGTCAGAGAACTGAAAAGAGGCGAGGGCTTATGGAAAAGAGCTCCAGTCTACAAAGGGCCTCTCTTCAGTGTTCTGCTCAGATTTTCTAGGCACAGATTTCTGAAGAAACTTCCAGAGAGTGGAAGATCAATTCACACTGCCTATCCAGACTCAATTTAATGTCCAACACAGAAAGAAAGAGACCAGGAATGCAAAGATATGAAAGAATATACTCTACCATGAGAGGGAAATTAGTCAATTGAAAATAATGCAGAATCGATGTAATCGACAATGCTATTCAAATACTTACTGTGATTAGATTTTACATGTGCACAAAGTTACAGACATTGAAGATGTGCAAAGGACCCCAATGAAATTCTAAAAGTGAAAGCAGCTATTTATAAAGTAAAATGTATCCTGGATGGGATTAAGTGCAGATAAGACACTTGAAGATGAAAAGATTTGTGAACTTGAAGATACAGTAATAGAAACTATCCAAAGTGAAAAAGACCAAAAAGGTGTTCTGATGTAATATATGTTATTCAAAACCCTGGAAGTTCATTAGAGAATGAAAATCAATAATGTGTAAAATATTTCCAAATTTAATGACAATTAGAAACACAGTCCAAGAATTCCAGCGAACCCAAATTCAGGAAGCACGAAGAAATAATACAAGTTACATCATCATCAAATTGCTGAAAGACAATGACAAAAAGGAAATAGTGAAGGAACTGAGGGAATTAAAGACATTACATCAGAAACAAAAATAAGGATGACAGCAGACTTCTTGTCAGAAACAAAGTGAGATAATATCTTTGAAGACCTGAAGGAAAAAGCCTGTTTGAATTATGTAACCAGCAAAATTATTTTTTAAATAAAAAGAAAAAAAAGGATTTTTTTTTTCTAGACACGAAAGCTGTAGAATTCATCACCAAGTTGCACTGCAGATATATTGAGGGAGGTCCTTCAAGCTGAAGGGATCATACAGGTGCTGTTGTGGGTCCACACAAAGAAACGAGAGGCAGCAGAAATGCTTAGGACATGGAGAGATAAAAGTTTATTACTTAAGTCTTTAAAAAAAGAGAGCTGGACATATATTTAAAAGTATAAAACATCAGAACTTCACTGCTAAACAAATGGAACACTACAGCAGTTCCCGGGTTGGAGCTGCTGGTGTCAGTTCTTTACATTGCTGTACAGATTGAACATAATCCTGGTAGAAATCACAGTAAGATTTAAAAAAGAAGGAAAAAAAAGAAATCAATACTAAATTTTATGTGGGTATAGAAAGGAACTAGAATAGCCAAAACAATTTTGAAAAAGAAAAATAAAGATGGGGGTACCGATAAAAGGTACTTTCAAGACCTTAGTTCAGCTACAGGACACTGGTTTTGTGTCAAGATCCAACAAACGGGGCTCAAGAGGGCAGAACCCGAAGTACAGAAACAGGCTGTCTGCCTTATTTGTTGGAAGCATACTCTTTCCTGTCTACCTGGGTCTGCAAACTTTCCAGAACACTAAACATACTATTAATTGGTAGTTTTCAATGAAGTATGAATATCTAGATAAAATGTCAAATGTTATTTTGAAAAATTACCATGCTGTTTTACTTATTTTATTTCTTCAGTATGTGAAAATGGGTGTTTGGTTTGTCCCTTTGGTAGTTAATTTGGTATTATCTTTAGGTCATAACATTTTGGGTTTTAAAATTATATTTATTATTTTTATTTTGTGTGTATGAGTATATTGCCTGCATGGGTATTATTGTGTAAGTGCACCCGTGTCATGCAGCACCCTCAGGGGTCAGAAGAAGGCATTGGATCCCATGGAACTGGAGTTAAAGTTGGTTGTTAGCCACCATGTGGGTGCTGGGTCTCAAACCCCCGTCCTCTGTAAGAGCAGTCAGTGCTATCAACCACTGAGCCATCTCTCCAGCCCTGATCATAACTATTTTTAAGATGTAGATTCTGCAAGCCAATCTGTTGTTCCCAATATGCATTTTTGATTACTTGTCTGAAAACTTCTTTTTAAATAGGTGTATCAAATTGTTCAATATCAAAATAATTTTTGCTTTTGAGTTAATCTCATGCTTGGAAATCCTTCTCCAAAGACAGTGTACTGGTGTTTCTTGGACCTCAATCTCTTTTTCTTTTACAATATTTTATTTATTATTTTTATTTTATGTTATGTGTATGAGTTGGATTGCCTACATGTATGTAAGTGTCCCAAGTCATGCAATGCACGTGGAGGTCAGAAGAAACCTGTAGTAAATTCATTCATTCAGTTTTCTCATAATTAAATTCCATATCCTTGTGGCCATGTTTCACAGCTCTGTTCATCTCTGACCTTCATCCTGTCCAGCACACTTTGGCCTCTGAACTGATGCCCCAGGATTCACTGTACAGTAGAATGAACATACAGGTTTTGAGTGTCTTTTCCTTGAAGTGATTTCTTTTGACTCAGAAAACAGATAGACCAGTTAATTATCCTTAAACCTCCCTCTGAAGTGAACTCCTAATGTGTAACTGTTTCACAGGGAGAGTGTGGAGAGCCTGATCCAGAAGCATTCCTATGCCCGCTCACCCATCCGTACCTATGGAGAAGAGGATGTCTTAGGGGAAGAGAGCCAGACAGCCCAAAATCGAGGTGAGGCCATACTTGGGGATGGAGAACTGCTGGGGGCCAGGGTACTTGAGGGGAGTAAGGCAGGCTGTTGTTGGGATGTTTGATCTTAATGGACCACATGCCAACAAACACCTCAGGGTTTTTCAGAAGATGCATTCCCCAATGCTGGGGCTCACATACTTCATTATTTTGTCTGGGTGGTTACTCTGCCTGAGGTGAGGTTTTCCAGGACAGAGCCTCTGCATTAGGGTCAGGAAGGGCTGGTCCATGACATACTACCAAAGAGCTACCACTCTTCAGGGCAATTTCTTACTCTTTCTGAGCCTTATTATCTGAAAATTAGGGACGATATTTGTTCTACCCACAGGAGTAACATCTTAATAGGATCAAAAGTCAAGGAAAAGGGCTATTCATGGCCCTAATAGTTGAGCAAAGGGTTGGAGAGATGGCTCAGTCACTTGTAATCCCAGTGCTGGGGAAGCAAAGACAGAGGTATTTTGAGGCTTGCTAGTCAGGCAGCCCTTAGTAAGCTCTAGGACAGTGAGATACGAGAAAAAAAAAAGTCGATGAACCTGAGGACAGACACCCAAGGTTGTAAGATTGTTCTTTGGTCTTTAGTGCACAGGTGCAGGTGTGTATTCAGAGAGAGAGAGAGAGAGAGAGAGAGAGAGAGAGAGAGAGGAGAGAGGAGAGAGAGAGAAACAGTCTTTCTGTCAGGAAAGCTCAGCGAGGAGCCCGAGCATATGGGAAGTATGTCCAGAAAAGAGAGTCCAGTGCTGCTCTACTTTTGACCTGGGATGTTCATATATGGAAATAATCAATGTCACTTTTAATTCCCAAAATAGTGAGTAATATAATCAGTAAAAACACAGGACATTTCTTATAACTCAGTGCAAGAAAGCCACTAATCATCATTCCATCAGCATTCACTGCTGCCTCATCTTTCAACTTCTGGATGCTTGCATGTAGAATTCATTCCTCTGGTTCTTGCAACGGGTCTGAAAATCAGGGGACTTTGTTGAGACACATCCAGCCTCTTTTAGGGAGATATTACAGAGATTAGAACAAATGTCAGATATTTGGATCTTTGTTTAAGGAAACAGGTAATTTTCTTCAGGCAAGATGCTCATGCTCAGACACTCTGTAGAATGCAATGAATTAAGTTTTTTTCTGTTTAGTAATTTTTTTCTTTCATGTAAGGTGTAAATGAGGTCTTCTTATTTAGAAAGGTAGACTTCCCTAACATAAATTGCATGTAGGTTTATCTTTGCATGTTGTAGGCCTAATAAATAGTATATTTGAAAATAAACAGATCTTTACAGGTAACTCGGTTCTTGATCAGTACATTGCAATAGTATTTTGAGTCTGATGAGCATTTTTCTTACAGGATCCGCCTTTACAACATCTGACAATTTATCTCTCAGTTCCTGGGTATCATCGTCTTCCAGTTTTCCGGGATTTCAGCACCCACAGTCCCTGACTGCTCTTGGCACCAGCACAGCGTCCATAGCAACACCCATTCCTCACCCCATTCAGGGTTCTCTGCCACCATATAGCCGACTGGGGATGCCTCTGACACCCTCAGCCATTGCCAGCTCCATGCAAGGGAGTGGCCCCACGTTCCCCTCGTTTCACATGCCGAGATACCATCACTACTTTCAGCAGGGGCCCTATGCAGCCATCCAAGGACTACGCCACTCCTCTGCTGTGATGACACCATTTGTATGACTCTTCTGAGTGTGGGGGAAGAGAATTCCAGAATGTCCAAATGGGTATGAAAATATAAGAGAAGGTTGGGTGGGTGGGATGTGTGGTATTGGAGCAGGGGCTCTCCAGGAAACTTGGGACCTATTGAAGAGGAGAGCTGGACTCACAATAAAATCTACCTTTAAGGGAGTGCACCATGGACCAGGATTCATCTGTAGTTGGACTCAGGAGAGTATCAGTGTAAAGTTCTTAGCCAGCCTAACACCTACAACTAATAGGATATCAGCTTATCCAGAAAACTTAATAATATAAGGCAAAGGAATCTTAAGGTGCATTATTCCTATTCTTTAAAAATTCTGTTGATGCAGTACTGTATAAATTCAATGTGTATAGGTTTTCTTTCTGCTTTCAACAGGTTAAAAGTGTCTTCAAAGAGGCAATACTATATAGCATACTGACCACATGGCTAACTTGCCAATTCTCCCTGTAGAAATGGGAGTCCATAGCAAAATTTTGTAGTGCTACAATGTACGCATGTTTAGTTTCCTTTAAGTCAGTTTGCTGGGAAAGGAGCAGAGATAGTGTTAATGCATCCTGCCATGTGGATGAGTGTATGATAATGCCTTTGCCAAGTTCTTGCAGTATTGACAGGCCAGTATGCAATATGCTCAACCTGTAGTCTTTTTCCTTTTTTTTACCTAATAATTCTCTTTCCTGCAGGAAAAGTGTTCTGTATGTATTTTAAAACAAGAAGCTCTCTGTGTCGTATTACCAAAGTGAGGTTTGCTTTTTCTGAGCTGCATTTTCAGTACACTACTGATGATTTAACTGAGGAGCCTTCCAGAGCCTGTGCATGGTGATGAGTAAGGATGTCTTTCATACAGCTGCAGTAAAAAGATGGTGGTTCTCTTCTGAAGGGATTTTCCCTGTGGGAGCCAAAGTTCCCTTCGTTTTCCTATCAGTGTCTGAAGATCTTCTACATAATTGAAATTTATTGGGCCAAATTAATTTTTTATAAATCTGCTTTATTGCTGCTCCCACTCATTGCTAGGGATTTGCAAACGATCATTCTCAGGCATGGTCAGCCATGATTTAACGTATCCTCATGAGGAAGAATGTGCCTGGATGGAATTTATCCTTTTACCTGACTATGTTAAATTTATAGATTCCTTTGCTGTTTTCCTCAGTCCATAATATGAAATTGCATGCTAATTCAGCCACTCCCTGACAGAAACATGAATTGTTTTTATAAGCAAATTAAAACTTCATCTAGTTCATGCTATCCTCTTAAGCCTTTCCTTTATGCACACAATGGACATTATATTTTATTTCTATGTAACTATATGCTATTTTTGAACAAGTATCTTAGCATTTACTGTCAGCTAATAGATTTGGTATTTTGTAAGAGCAACACATCTCCCTAGTAATAGAGATTTATTAGTTATTAGACTTTGAGCTTTGAGTACAATATGTTCCAACTACAGGATATGGCCTGTTTGTTTAGCATACCCCCCCAATTTAAATTTACTTTAAATTTTGTATGTAGTTTTCATTCTATTCTGTTCTTACTGAAAAACTATTGACTATTAGAAAAGATGGGAGCTATCACTACTGACAGTAGAAATGTATTTGGACGTAAATGCAATACACTCCCCACATCACACTCTGGGATTTTACGTGGTTGTTTTAATGTTAGGCTTTTCCATGTGAATTGCATTTCCTGGGCAAGTCTAACCTTACAAAGAAACAGAAACTGTTAACAAAAGCATTTCAAACTCCTGCCAGACACTGCAGGTTAATTTCCAGCTTCTTGAATGTCATGCTGTAGTATCCACAGATAGTTTGTTTTCAAATAAAGCATAGATCTACATTTCTTTTGAAGATCAGTAATGAGTGATGTTTAAAATACATAGAGCTTGGAAGGAGTTTGATATTTAATGAATGGTCAGGGTACCCCTGAACAGAGTGCTGCTTAAAGCAGGAATAATGAAGATACCCTTTTACAGGATGCTCCTCACACCCCCGGTAAATGATGGGGATGCTAAAGTGCATTTTGTGCCGGAATTATTTTTTTCCAAGAGAACTGAAGAATTGTTTTACTACTGTTTTGTGTGATTTTTTTTTTGTTAAATACATTTTTATGCCAGTATTTCCTGATTTTATAATTCTGTTCATAGTTAGGCAATATGAGACTAAATCTAATTGGAGTCCATGGAGAAAAGCAAATCTGCTTTTAGAAAAATTGTCCCTGAAATTCTAAATTGGATGTATGTTTTACATGTTGTTGGTGTTACCTGAACCAAACAGAAGCCGCGTGCATGAAATGAACTCAAGTGCCAGGCTGTCAAGCCCTGGGAACCGCTTGTGCTTTTCTGAGCTATTCTGGTTGTGGATTCTTATTAACCCCTGGGAGTTTATTATTTAAAAATTTAAAGTTCATTTCACCAAAAATGATGACAAGAATTAGATAGTACATGGGAAAGCCAATTGAATAATAATGAACATGACAAATTCAGAGTCTTCTCTATGAATATTACAGCATTAAGAAGCATCGCTAATATGCAGTACTGCTCGAGGTCGTCTGGCCAGACCTGCTTTACTGAACTCTATCAAACCTATTCACAACTCAGCATGTTCTGACTTGCAATTTGGTTTTAAAACATTTCTCAACAATTCTATGTTCAGTTGTTCCTTTTCCTTAGTTAGTGACTCATCCCACCCCCTTCCCAACCTTTTGGCAGTACATATGGAAATATATCCGTCTTGTGTCTAGCACATCAAAAATAATTTAGTAACACAGTCTAGCTTAATGACTTTGTATTTCATTGCTGGTCCCTTTCAGCTTATAACAATGGTGTCGTGTCTGAAGGGCTATCAGCACTCCTGGTAGGTAGATACAGAGAAATAAGAGTCATCAGACAGTAACAGGCTTGTGTAGGGCTTGTGTAGGGGGAATGCTGACCTCTGAGGCATTCCAGAATCTTACCTCCTTCACCATTAGCCACACATCTGTCATTTGCTTCTTCAGCTACAACACTCTCCTCCCCACAAAAAATAATGACAGGAAAAGGAAAGCCATTAAAACTGCAAGCAATATTCTGAGAAGTAAAGCTTCCTTATTTCACACTGCTTGTGAGTTTTTCAGGGAGATGTTAAAATTTATCCTATTTCTGTATTTCACAATAATTTTTCAGGTACTGTGCTTGAAAATGCTCATTGTCCTGAGGAAAAAACACCTATAAATAAAGTGGATGGGAGAATTTCTGTCCCATAAGATACACAGACAAGCTTAGTGATGACTTGGTAACAAAACTCCCAAAACAGTATGTATTAAGCAGGTTAAACTATTGCAAAACACTTATGTTTTTATTCAATATTCCACTATCTAGGAAACATGGTTAATTATTAAATGGACAGGGAATTACAATTATCACAAACAAAACAACACTTTCCCTAAATCTAAACAAAAGAGTAGTCAAGAGAGGAAAAATTTCAGCTTGTTTCTCTATAGAGTTATGACACAGAGGAGGATGGGTTTTATATAAATTTTTATATTGTTTTAGAGCAAAAGGACTTTTTATAAGTAAGCAAAGGGAAGGTACAAACTTTTAAGACTTTAGGGAAATATAAAGCCTTTTCTTCACTACCTACTAGTCCATACTAGTAACAAAGTATTACAAATACCTTTCTTCAGCAAGCTTAAATATAAAAAGGTTCATTTATAATGAATAATCCATAAGTATTTTCTAGACTCCTTTTGTCTCTCCTTCAAATAATTTCAATCTCTTCTCCTTTTAAAGAAAGTATCTAATTATGAAAATGGGATTTTTTGTGTGTGAAAGAATACACCTGGACAAAAGATACAAATCGTTGTATTTTACTTCTGTTTCACAAGCATACTGTATTAGTTTTTAAAATTTTCATAAATCTGAATAACTATTTACTGAAGGATAAAATTGGGTATAGTCTCTTCAGTAGACTCTGTCACGGTTTGTTTGCTGTGTCCTATTTGCCTAATGAATCGCGTGAGTACAGTCACTATAATGCAGCGTGTGTGAGGGCAGGGGAGGGGCATGGGAAATGTTTTATGGGGAAAAATTATAAGCCTAATACTATGAAGTAACATCTAATGAAGTTCTTTTTAAGTGCAATATATTTATTTCTGCCAGAAATGTATTATCAACCTTATGTAATATTTGAAGCATAACATGTTATTTGTAAACAGCTAAAAATTATATATTACTCAAGTTGTACAGAAGTACAAATGCGTGGATGTTAGTTTATTTTGTCAGAAGTGGTGGTTTGTGTATATATACATATATGCACATTTTTACTTTTTTGTTATTTTTTCCTTTTTATTGAACTTTTAAAAGTTCATACATTTCCCACTCAAATCCAGACCCTTCACCCATCCATGCCTTCCCCTACCCCCCCACCAAACCCTATGCACTCTGCCATACATGCTGAGTCCTATTCATTCAGGTGTTCATACCCAAATGTCCTTCAGTGTAATACGTCTACTGGAGTCTAGTCAGCCCATCCAGTGGTCGTATGTAAGTCATACTCTTCCCTCACCCAGCAGCAACCAGTCTCAAATAGTTCTCAATCTAGTGCTGACCTGCCACCTATTTCTCACCTCCCCTTTGGGCCCTGGTTTAATTGAGCTGACATAGTTCCCGTGTTGGATATCACCGCTGCCACAGGCTCACATGAGCAAGCCTCCAGTGGCCTGGAAGCCTCTACCTCCCTGTGTTTATGAACCAGCCCTGACTCACAATCTTTGCACCTCCTCTTCCCCAATGGTCCCTGAGCTGTGGGTGGGTGGGTGAGGTTCCATAGAGGAGTCCCATCTTACACTCTACAGCCTCTTAATCTCCAAAACTTGGCCAGTTGTAGCCTTCTGTATGCATCACACTGATGTACAAGGAAGCCTCACTGGTGCGAGTTGAGGGGTGCATTAGCCCTCTCTGTACCCCTTATTCACCTATGTTCCATGAACCTTAGTTGTAGAGATTCGACTGCAGATGTGTCACCTAGTGCCTGACCAGATGTGCCACTCTGCACTGGCCTCCATCTGTTGCAAAAGAAGCTTCTTTGATGAGTGCTGTACAGCATGGCTTTCACTCTAAGGAGGGGGGGGTCCTCTTCTATCTGGCACTGCATTCCCTGCCAAGCAGCTCCCAGGTATACATATGCATTAATGTTCAGACACTCTATGTGCATCTCTCATAGGGTTTCTAGGGCATCACTTTTCCCTCTAGGTTTCCTAGCCTCCCGAGATTCACTCGTCTCCACTCTTTTTCTCCCATCCGGTCTCCCTCCTCCCTCCCTTCCTTGTCACAGTGCCCCCATTGTTCCCTTCCTGCCCCCAATACCACCCAACTCCCGCCATCTTTCCTCTCCTGACTTCCCTCCCTCCCCACACCATGGTTCTTTCCATATCTCTCCCACCTCTCTTCCCTTACTATTACTTCCACTTTTTCCACCTCCCTCAGGTAACATCTGTTCCCTACTATCCCCCTTTCAGGTTATTTCTTTTCCTTTACCTCCATGTATGCTTTCCCTTTCCCTGGCTCCTGGTGTTACTTCAGAGTTTATATACTCACATATAAGGGATTGTGCTACAATCCACAAATGAGGGAAAACATACGTCGCTTGCTTTTCTGAGTCTGTGTCACTTCACTTAGTATAACACTAACTCCATCCATTTACCTGCAAATTTCATAGTTTCGTCTTTTCTTACTGTTAGTAGAACTCCAGTTAGTAGATGTACTGCATTTTCATTAATCATTCACCAGTTGAGGGACATTTAGGTTGTTTCCATTTCTTAGCTATTGT